TCCCCGCTGTGCTATGAGGCAGCTGAGTAGGTGAGGGGCATAGGGTTGATGTGGCAGCCCCTCCCTGCCCACACCGGGCTCCCCAGGACCCCGCTGAAAAGTCAAGAGTCTAAATGACATGTTGAAATGAGGACAAGGAGATGAAAGACATGGCGCCAAAGACCGCCGACGTACATATGGTGTGACATTTCCAAACACCCATGGGAGATGGAGGGGTTGTCTGATGCTGATATGTCCTCCTCACCTTCCCCTAATTTACTTACCTTCCTTTTTCTTCTTTTTCTCACCCTTGAACACCCCCTAGTTTTACAGATTTTATAGTTAACACAAGTATAAATGTGTAGATTGTTTTAATTATTTTGAGTGTTTACTCATATCAATGCTGATTTCTTTAATTTTCCTGAAACGCTATAAAATAAAAAACGACTAACATAAAGTTAGAGGTCCTCTTTTGGTTAGAGTGATATGTTCATTTATTAGCACTTGCACTTTTTAAAATGCTTGATTGTTTTGACACTAATAGGAGTAATAGGACATTCGTATATTCTACAGAAGGTGAAATTGTGGTTCAGTTCATGGTCTGTCTCACTCTATCTATCACTCTGCTTGTTGTGAGGTCGACCTTTACCACGCTAGCTTGCCCTCCGACCTTCTACAGCAAGTACAGCGAGCTGGTTAATTATCCCACTGTGAGGTTAGAATAGGAGCCCTAATCAGAGGGGCTGACGCAGCAGTCATCAGATAAGCCCTGGACACATCTCACACCAACTCGCCCCTTCAGCCCAGGTGTTAGATTGGCCCGCTGTAACTTAACCCCTCCGGTGATTAGCTCACATAAGCTAAGAGGCTCACAGTGGTGGTGGGTGTCAGAGAGAGAGTCAGATTGTCCTGTTTTAAAAAACATGGGTCAGACCCCCTTCATGTCAGCTAACTCGATCAGCTTCGTTGTGGGTGGCGCTGCATTATTCCTCTGCTTAGCTGTTGTGCAGAGTTGCACACAGATAAATGTTTCTCTCCGACACCATCAGCTATGTTCCTGTTTGACCTTTTGACAGCTGAAATTAGTCATCACTATCAAAAACACGCTCTATCCCCGGTACTCTCTGTCTCACACATATACACACACACACACACCAAAGAGCTTTTACAACACACACTCTCTCCCCTGTTCTGTAGCCTTCATCAGTTTGTTCTGGATTGGAGCCTTTTTAAGAAAACAAACCTGATGGTCCTCTTAGGGAAACAAAGCTCTAGCTGCTCAGATTACTGCCTAACTTTTTT